CCCTGGGCCCAGGCACCTTCATCTCTCACCTGGGCTCCACTTCCTTCCCTCTAGTCCACTGCTAATATGGCAGCCAAAGGGCACACCAGGTCTCGTGGCTCCCCTGTTGGAAGCCATCCAAGGACATGGCCCTGTTCTTGCTTACCTCTCTGACCTTGTTCACTTCCCTCCAGTTACACTGGCCTCCATGCTGCTCAGACACTTCAAACTCATTCCTGACTCCGGGCCCACACAGGTCTTATTTCCTCTGCCTGGAACACTCTGGCTCTAGACCTCTGCATGCCTGGCAGACTCTTGACATTCAGTTCTCAGTTCACATGTCACTCTTGGATGAGGCCTTCGCTCCCGCCATTATTCTGTCACAGTACCTGCCCCCACCCCCTTTTAAAGCCCTGAATATGGTCAGAAATTCTTAATGATTTGTTGGGTTTTGTCTGTCGTTTGCCCAGGAGTGCAAGGATGTTCCCTTCCCCAGCACCTGGAATAGTCCCCACTGCATAGTGATGCTCAATAAAGAGTAGATGAGGGACTGGGTGGGTGAACTGGAGTCACGGAGCCCTGAGTGGAGAAGCTCAGATGAGAAGGCCTGGGGCAGGGTGCAATGGGCTGAGTGGGCTTCTAGTCTGCTCTAGGGATTCAGAGAAGGCTTCCTCCGGGAGCGGGCATCTGAGTTGAGTGTTAAGGTGGCTATGAATTTGGAGAAGGTTGCAAGAGCAGCCCAAGATGTGAGGGAATGAGCAAGAGCAGACACACACAGGCACCACGGGTGGTACAGGAAACTGCTCCTTCCCAGACAGCCCAACTGCCAGTCGGAGGGTGGCGGGAGTGACCACTAGAGAGGTCAATTGGGGCCAAGTCTCAGGAGGCCTGGGGTGCCATGCTGAGGGGCCTGGACTTTCTCCTTCGAGGAGGGCAGGCCTTGGAAGCCTGGTCAGATTTTCATTTCCACAGATTCCTGTGGCTGCCCTGTGGCAAACAGATGGAAGGCAGTGGTTTGCAAACTCTGTACAATAATATCACTTGAGACCTTTTGGAACCTACAAAACCTGTGGGCTACCCCAGACTAATCCAGAATTTCTGGGGATGAGGCCCAGGCACTAGTGGTTGTTTGTACTGTTTTTTCTTTAAATCAACTTTCCACCAAAGCTGACAGGAGAAGCAGTGCAGATCGTAAGTGAACAGCTGGTGAATTGTGATCAAATGTGCCCGTGTAACCGGCATCCAGATCAAGGTGCGGGATAGTGCCAGCACTCCAGAGCTCCCCTCCCCTCCAGTACTACCCTCCCCCCTCCAAAGACCGCACATTAATTCGCTTGTTTTTGAAATGTATAGACATAGTTGCGTGTTGTTGAACCTTATTTATTCGCTGTAAAGTACTCCATTGCATGAATGTGCCCCATTTTGATTATCCATTCTATTGGTGGACATGGGGGGAGCTTCCTGCCTGGGGATTATGAACGGTGCTGCTGTGACTTTCCAGGTGAGCCCACATGTACCTTTCTGTTGGGGATCTACATGGGGGTGGGGTCGCTGGGTCACCGGGAATCCAAATGCTCAGCCTTAGTGGATATGCCAAACTGGCTGCCAGTGTGAAAATCTCCCAGATTAAGCCCAGACACAGGGGCACCGGTTAGGAGGCTCACGTGGTCACCCGGCCCCTGGGCAGATGCAAAGGTTAGCGGACAGCAAGATTTCTAGTGAAGAGGGAGCAGGCATCAGAAAAAAGAGAAGGAAAAACTGCTTGTAGGAAGAAAAAAAAAAGAAAACGGCCTCACGCTGCTGGTGCTTTTGGTGTTGGCTTTGCAAAGGTCGCTGGAGAAGGAGGCATAATCTGTTGTGAGAGGAGAGGCAGAAGATGAAATCGTGTAAAGTGTGTTTGTGGTCACAGTAGAGTGCCTGGCAAGCGTCAGCCAAAGCCTGCAGACACTATGTCATAGGACTGTCATTGTGAGACATGAATTCACTGGTTATATATGTGCTGATCCAGTTGGGAGCGGGGAGGCCGGGTGATGCTGTGGCCAGGGCACTAGGGGATAGATTAGACGTGGTCTAATCTCGGCTTGGCCACGACCAGGCTGTGCGATCCTGGGCAAAATGCTTCCTATCCCTGTAGTCTAGTTAGAGCATTCTGGCTAGATGAACTGTTAAGATCTTTTCTGGTTCTAATGGACTATTACATATGTCACTCTAGAGGTGACAGCAGAAGACGATCTGAAAAGTTGGCACGACGTAATCACTTTATATCTGGGATGGTTTTGGATGAGAACACTGGACTGTATAATTCCCTAAATTATCTAGCACGGGGTAAGATACTCTCAGATGATTTCAGTTTTGTTTTAGTTTTTTAAAATTAGGGATATGGCCAGGACACTGGTGGCTGGGAGCCCCAGACAGTCTTGTAATGTTACTAATATGGCAGCATTCACCTTTTGTTTTCATATCTAATCCCCTCCCACTTGCCTTTGTGTGTAAAAGCCTCTCACCTGGGGGTACCTGGGTTCCTCAGTCAGTTGAGTATCTGACTCTTGATTTCTGCTCACGTCATGATCTCACAGTTTGTGAGATTGAGCCCCGCGTCGGGCTCTGTGCTGACAGCATGGAGCCCACTTAGGACTCTCTCTTCCACTCCCCTGCTCATGCCCTCTCAAAAATAAACATTAAAAACAAATCCTGTGGCTTTCCCCTGAGCTCTCAGGGGGATACATGGGACTGTGCACAGACACCCACTCTTTGGAGGGGAGGTAAAAGGAATGAGGTCATGGGACTCAGCCGTGAAGGAGAACTGGACTTCAAAACCGCTCTCAGGAATTATGTTGTGCAAACTTTGATTAAAAAGATTACCGTGGAGGTTGGGTAGGAGGGAGCGCAAGGATGTTTTGACTGTAATTCCAAGTCCTGGGCTGATAGACCGTGACGAAACCTTTAGCAGGGGGCAGATTATGGTGTCAACAGCAGGAAACAAAGGGAGAGGAAGGCTGAGCCTGCTTAAGTAGGCCAAGGATGGAACGTGCTGGCATGCTGCTCAGGGGACGGCAGTGCTGGGCTTGCTGGCTAAGGAGGCAGGTGTGGGAATATTTGCGCCGGCGGAGCCCCGGCCAGCCCCAACTGCAGTAAAAGTGGGAGTGTGGATGTGTTTAGTCACCATGGGAGAAACGGGAGAATGCAGGTTGGGGTGGGGATTGGGTTACCCGCTGAGCCAAGATCAAAAGAAGCCACTGGGTTGGAAAGGCATTTCGTTTGCTCTGCGCCACAGGCTACAGCTATTGTGGTGACCGGTCCAGCTCTGTGCCGACACAGCTGATGGTAGAGGAGTGGCCAGCCATCAGAGGCAAGGCCAGGTGACCCTGTGGCCCCCTCGGCTATATGTTCGTTTCCTAAGGTCCCCATTAGCCCCATCAGAAAGGACTGGAGAGACAGGCTGGGTGGCTCTTTTCTTTGTGATGTTCCAGAAAACATTCCCAGATAACTGGGAATGTGTTGAGACTGGAGTCCTGGGGGCTGGGGCTGGCATTTATCGGATGCTAACGATTGTGTTTGGTGCTGCACACTTGTTACCCTCAACAAGGTCACACGGTAAGGGGCTGAAGCTGCTATTTTCATCCTGTTTATCTGATTACAAAATTATCCCCCTCCCCACCCCCCCCCAGCACTGGGAAATTGCTAAAATAATGGAATCTGTCAGGACAAATAAGGTATGCCGCCATTCTGAGCTTTGTGGAGAAAGGGGCTCCTTCCATCAGTAGGTCTTTGTTTTGGGCAATGGTCAACATCCTTGGGCTGCCTCCTTTGACACACAGCCCACTAGGTGCTCGGCCACTCACCATGTTGTTCCAGAGCGCGATGGCCATCTCCGCGTGACCACGTTCTGAGAAGTGGAAACAGTCCTCGGAGAAGAAGGTGAGGTCAGCGCCCCCTTTCTGTGACCAAAGGCAAAGGGATTACCTTTCTGGGAAAAAGGTGCAGCCACCCACCCCTGCGGGCACCCTGGGCATTTTCCCTTTCAATTCTGCTGCCAGTTGGCTCGGATACTGATGGACAAACTCCCCAGTTTTGGAACTTTTTAAAAGACCTAAATTCTAGCCACCCCCAGTCCATCCCTTTTCCTTTGGCATCCCTGCCCTAATAGTTGAAAAAAAAAAAAAAAATGGGAAGCTTTCCATTCTATCCCAATCTAGCAAATACCAGGGCCATGCCTGGGGAGCTTGGTCACTGCTGACATTCTCCCTTTCCTTCCAAGTACATCCAGGTTCCATTCAAACCAAAAGAAAAGGTAAACAGAAAAAGCAACTCCCTAGGAGCCCTCTTAGAACTACATGGTCAGAAAAAGCTCAGGTACAGAAGGAAGTATATCGCCTAAGAATGGCCTCCCAGAATTGCCCGTGGCTTACGCTGTTCAGGGGGACAAGAGTGTTCTGGAAGAAAGGCTGCACGACCACTGCGAAATCTTCACGCTGCAGGTACTGGTGCCAGTAGGACAACCTGGAGATGCCACTCTGGGGATGGGAGAGAGGTTCCTCAACCCTCCTGGCAGGACTGGGCAGATGGGTTCTAGTCCTGCCTTGCGCTGGCTGTGAGGGGCCAGCCCACCCTCACCCAGCGTGACTTCAGGGGATGCTCCAGCGCACGTGCAGGCATTCATCCTGCCTGTACCTGGGCATGGGCACCACCCGTTCTGTTCTGAAGTCTCTGAGGCTGGATTTGAGCCTCTGACCAAAGACCTCCCCTGTTCTTGCTGCATGAAGAGCTGAAGGACCACACGGGGCTCCACATCTAGCTCAAATGGGGAGCATTTCAACACTAGCTCCCCAAGATGCCTATAAACTTGGAGGATGAGCGTCCATGTAAAAGGGATAGATGGGCTTCTCTTCCAGAAGCTTTTAGGGGCGCCTGGGGGGGATCAGCCGATTGAGCGTCTGACTTTGGCCCAGGTTGTGACCTCATGGTTCATGAGTTTGAGCCCCACAGCAGGCTCTGTGCTGTGGATTCTGTGTCTCCTTCTCTCTCTGCCCCTCCCCAGCTTGCACTCTTTCAAAAATAAACATTAAAAAAATAAAAAAAAGCTTCCACTCCATCTGGAAAAAAAGGGCCAGGATGTTAAAAAACAACAACAACAAAACAAACATGAGAACCAGAGAGGGGGGAAGTTTGGTCAGGGGAAACTTCTTGGAAGAGGTGAGAAGACCTGTCCTGTGCACAAGATGGAGACATAGAAGAAGGACGTGGGATGGGCATAGCAAGAGGGGACAGCAGGGGTGCACACAGAGTTGGGGATGGAGGGAAGCAGGGGTGGGCTAAAGCCCAACAGGGTGGTAGACACCTGCCCTGCCTCCTCTGGGTGAGAGATGATGTCTAGCACATGGCATCTACTCTGGTCACCAGGGCAGCGAGGCAGGAATCCTCCCAGCTTCCTCTGAGATTTCTCCCTGCCCAACTTGGTGTTCTTTTCACCCGGAGAAGGGTTTCAAGGCCTGTGATCTGCCTTTAGGGAGAGGCCTTGCTCTCAGCAAGCCCTGCTCTGGGAGTAGAGGGGGTTCCCAGCTGGGACAGGAGGAGGAGGGGTGCGGGCTCACCTGGAAGTTCCAGTTCATTTTCTTCAGTTCTTGCATCTCCAGAGAATTCTCCTGGGAACGTGTGAGGCAAGTGCAGTTGCTCCTGGGAGAGAAGGGGTCCTGTGGAGAGGTGCCTGGGTGGCTGACCCCCTCCCCCCACCAAGGGAAGAAGGCCTGGACCCCGTATTGCCTTGCATGGGAGGATGGTAATACACAGGTGCCCCTGCAACACAGCCTTGGGTGACTCCTGGACCCAGGTCACAGACTGGGCACTAGGGGTAGCAGGTGCTTGTTTAAAGAGAAGGTGGGAGGGGCGCCTGGGTGGCGCAGTCGGTTGAGCGTCCGACTTCAGCCAGGTCACGATCTCGCGGTCCGTGAGTTCGAGCCCCGCATCGGGCTCTGGGCTGATGGCTCAGAGCCTGGAGCCTGCTTCCGCTTCTGTGTCTCCCTCTCTCTCTGCCCCTCCCCTGTTCATGCTCTGTCTCTCTCTGTCCCAAAAATAAACGTTGAAAAAAAAATTTAAAAAAAAAGAGAAGGTGGGAGAACTGGCACCCGATATCTGGGTCCCCTTGCCACCTGGCTGCTCCCGCCCAAGCCTGGGCTTCCTCCAGGGAAGGGCTGGAGGTTTGGAAAGACTGCCATCACCACCTTATCTCTCTCCATGTTCCGGAGGGCCCCAGCTCTACCTCCGGCTGCTTAGCACTTGTCCTCAGGGCTCCAGAGCGGGGAGCCTCTTAGGAAGCAGACCTGAAGATCCTGCAGGAGCTGTTCACACCTCCTAGCTACTGCCTGTTCCACCCTGGCCAGTTCCCAAGAGGAATGGGAACCAGCCGGTCACCTTCCCAGCAAATCCATGGGACCCCCAGCTGGGACTCCTCAGCCCCCTGCAGAATCTCCTCTTCCATAGCAGCCTCACAGGAAGTCTGGGTGACCCTCTGGCCTCAGAAGCTGACAACTTCCTGCCAGGGTCACAGCTGAGCTTTTTTTTTTAAAAAAAAATTTTTTTTTCAACGTTTATTTATTTTTGGGACAGGGAGAGACAGAGCATGAACAGGGGAGGGTCAGAGAGAGAGGGAGACAGAGAATCGGAAACAGGCTCCAGGCTCTGAGCCATCAGCCCAGAGCCTGACGCGGGGCTCGAACTCACGGACCGCAAGATCGTGACCTGGCTGAAGTCGGACGCTTAACCGACTGCGCCACCCAGGCGCCCCACAGCTGAGCTTTAATAAATTCCAGCCACCAACAGAAATTCATGTCTTGTACAGCATACCTTAGCTCTAAGCCTGGCTTTCAAGGATGTTATAAAAGCTACGGCTTACTGAGCACCTGCCTCACAGGGACCAAGCCTGTGACACGCATTTCCTCTAGACCTCGCATTACAGGTGAAGAGGAGGCCCAGAGAGTTATCTAGTTTGTGCAAGGTCCCACAGCTCCTACATGGCAGACCCAGTTCCAAGACAGGTGTCTTGGATGCCCATTGCTCCATATTTGAGAGGCAGCACAGGGCAATCACAGACGGTGCCGGAGGCCTTAAGGATCATTGGTGTGTGTCTCACTTTACAGAAAAGCAAACTGGGGTCCAGAGAAATAAAATGACTTGCATACAGTAGGCATTCAATAGCATAGAGGTATTTCTGAATGATCTTCCAAGCCCCTGGCTAATTGCCGATGTCTGCCTTCTGGATAGGCTCGCCTGCCTCTGCCCGCACTGGTCCATCTGTCGGCACCTGTGAGTCCCACCCTCCCCAGGTGCCCTCGCCCTGGGGCTGTGTACTCACTGAGCGGCCAGCGGCAGGTCGCATTTCCCACCTTGGCCCTGGTGCAGGCCAGCCAACTCCATGACCTCCACCACATTGATGAAAGCCCTTGGAAGCTGTGGGGGAGCAGAGGGGGTGAGCTTTGTTAGTCCCCAGGCCGTTGTGGGGGATGCTGGTTACTACTGGAAGGAGCCTAGGGGGTCCTCTACAGTCTAACTTCCTCCTCCCCAATTTTACCAATGAAGAACCTGAGGAACAAAGAGGGCATGGGACTTGTATCATCTCAGTCTTCTTTAGTGGCCCACTTTATAGCTTGGGAAGCTGAGACCGCAATCACTGGCCTCAAGTCACATTGCTAGTAAGCCACAGTGCCTGGCCACAAACAGGCCGACTGGCTCCAGAGGCAAGCTCTTTGCCACCAAACAGTACAGTGTGATCCAGTTAGAATTTCCCTTTCAGGGGAGCTTTGTCCCTGCCTCCTTCCCCTTCCTTCCCCTCCAGGTGCCCTTGTCTGCTCACAGCGGGGCTTTTCTCAGCACGTATCTCACTAAACACAGCTTGCCTAGATGTGCCCAGAGGTGATGCCCGGTGAGGGAGTAGATAGGTTGCTGGCGGGAGAGGAGAAACATATGGCTGCTCTTTCCTACCTCCTCATAGAAGATGTCCAGGGCCTGTTGGATGTGCCGAATGTACTCCCCAGCTGAGTGGGCCTCCTATGAAGAAAGAAGGGGGCTCTTGTCATCCCCTGGGTTCTGTGAGAGGATGATCATGGTCTGATGACTAGCACAGGAGGATCTGGGATGGTGGCAGAGGGTACAGAGGGGCTATAAAGGTGCTAGACAGGCTAAGCCCCGTCCTTGTTGGCAAAGTCTTCCTTTGACCCCTAATAGACACCATGGACAATCCCGAGGGATCCCCACCCTGATCACAGTATCTCAAACCCAGAGGCAGATTCTGATAGCGCTGCCTACCCCCCCAATTCTCCAGTCCCATCTGTCACCAGCGTCAGGCTTCTGAGCCACATCAGTACCATGATGACCACACTCTCTTCCCTTTGCGCTGTGGCCCATGCTGGCCCCATTGATTCCCCCTAACTTCTATCTTTTTGACTCACCTCGAGGGTTTCCTCCTCTGACCCTTCCTAGAACATGGCCTGAGTTAATCCTGGTGGTGGCCTCTAGGTCTTTCCCACAAAAAGATGCTTTCAGGACTACAAATCTGGCTTTGCAAGAGGGGCAGGTATTCTGGGGATAATAGAGGCATTTTTCTATACCGGGTGTCCACAGGCAGCTCTGGGGACTCTCTTGGCTTCCTGGACCCTGTTGAGTCCAGGATACAATGGCATTTAATCCCCCTGGTGATGGGTCACTTCCTCCTCTAGAGTCTAGTAAGGGAGAGAATTGAGAGGAAGAGGCTCAGAACAAACCCCTGGGTGGGGGAGGGTAATTCTTGTCCAGCCTTCAGTGGTTGGTCTCTCTGAGCCATGAGGAATGATAAATGCTTTCTCCCCCTGCCTGTGACTTCAAACATTCTATGCTAATGTCTCAGTTATGGCAGCTGCTCTTGTCTGGCCCACTAAATACAGGACATCCCCAACTTAGAACAAGTTGTATTTCAACAGTTACAGCTTCCCAAAGACTGTAAGTCTGGACATATTTCCCCGTAGAAACATCAGGAACAGGCTGGATTCTCAGGCTGGCTGGCTGAGGTTGGTTCACTTACGAGATCCTCGGGGCAGCAAGCCCTCCTACTAGGACCAGTTTAATTTTATCCAACCTTGTTTATGACATTGTTTCAGCTTCCCCCTGTGTACACACACATGCACGCACATAAAAGAAAAATCAAAAAATGGGTAGGGATGCCAAGTAGGTGTTGGGGGAAGCTTGCCATGTACTCATTGTGTACCCAAGAACAATATTTGTGTGAGAAAGAACAGTGTCTGAAGAGTGGGTGCATCTAGACACTTCTGGAATCGGGGAACCAATCAAGCTGCTGTCCCAGGGGCCACTCAGGAACGGGAAAGGCCGGGGTCTGCCTGGGAGAGCGGGCCAATGTGACTTCCACGGGGTTGAGCAGGGGCCTACCTGATTCTCACAGTAATGACACATGTCGTTGCTCCCAATGAAGAGTGTGATCAGCTTCCAGTCATTCTCTAGATCAATTTCCTGGGGGGGGGGGGGGGGGGACAGGAAGCCCTCAGCTTAGGCTTTTGTTTTGCATATGCAGATGGCATTCACCAGGACAGACCGCAGCGCGCCCCCCCCACCCAACCATTGTCTTTCCCCCTCCTTGTATCCTGATGGAGAGAAGATGCCAACTGGAGCCTCCCTGACCTTCACCTTGGTTCCTGGCAAGGAGCTCCAGAGAGTGGATTCAGTGTGTGCACTTGTGTGCACTTGTGTGTGTGTGTGTGTGTGTGTGTGCGCGCACACGCATGTGTCTGCTCACACAGGAGAGGATGACTTTTTTTCCTTCGAGATCCTAAGCAAGCTGCAGTATATCACGAAGCAGAGTGTATTAACACACCCCTGAAATGTCATCTCAATGCCTTCAAAGGAGCAGAGGGCAAAAGATACAACTAGAAGCAAAAGCCCAGAGGTGACTCTTGGGAGAGGGGGCTGGCGGGGACTGGAGGTGGGGTGGCGGCTGGGGAGGGCCTCGAGGAGCCTGCCTTCCGCTCAGCCACCACCATAACAGGAGTCCTGCCAGGCGCTGAACTTGGAATTCCAAGGCCTAAACACACAGAGCATTTAAAAGAGTGCCGTGAGAAGTTTCAGAGGGGCCGGGTGAGCGGGAAGGAGGAAGGATCGGAATGAGAAGCCTATTTTTAGAATCTGGGGTTTACATAATAGGGCTCTGCAAAGCCAACTCTTGGGTAAGGTGGGAAACTGCCAGAGGCCAAGGCCAGTTCTGCTACCTCCTGTGGTGGGCCTCAGGGGTGCGGGTGCCAGAGCCTGGGTCAGGAAAGGGCAGCAGAGGCCTTGGTGGTAAGGCCTGCTTCTCGTGGCTTGTCTGGCCCCTCTTAAAGAAAAGCAGGGGCTGAAACGGTGCAGAGTGGGCTCTTTTAGGGCCGCTGCACTCCCCCTACATAGCTGGAGACTAAGCACCTTGTAGGGGGGCCCAGGGTCCTGTACTCACAGGGTTGTTTTTCATTCGCTCCACCAGGTCCCGGGCCTGCGTCGGCATGTCCCTAGATGGGGAAGAGAAAGGAACCTTAGAGCCAGCTGGGAAGCAAAGGCTCAAGCCATGGGATCCTGGCTTGGTGAGACAGGTGCTCCAAGAAGAGAAATGTTACATAAACTTGACTCCTTCAGAGTGTATCCAAAGGCTTTCGATTCTCAAGAAACCTCAACCTAGTACAAATCAAAGATGTGCCCCAGACCTCAGAGCCACATGGATCCGGACCCTGCCAGGGGCTAGCCTGGGTCCACCCACTGCCTCCTTCAGGCCTGGTCCTCCCTGGCCCCTGGCGGGGGGGGGGGGGGGGGGGG